TAAGAAGATAAAAATTAATTTCACCACGTAAAAAAAATTACGTAGTCTTAAATAATTTTTGTCAAATATTATGTCAAAATACTACTGGGGTTCCGCAAAGTTTTAAATTTTATGAAAGGGTTCCATGACTAAAATAAATTGGGAAACGCTGGTCTAGCAGATTAATATCTTATTACCAATAAGCGTTGTAACAATTTTGATGCTCAATGTATCACTTCATGCTTCCGTAAAAGTTCTGCGAGAAAACAATTCAGAGAGATACTTCAATAGCTTCACCTGAACATCGCGATTAGCGCCATCTCTTTATAACGGTCTCTTAACACAACGCTATACAGTAATGCATTTGACGTCGCTTATATAGATGTTTTATTGGATGAATAATTCTGCTTCGATAATGATCTAATAACCATTCATTCAGTTTTATAATGGCAGCAGTTAATACCACAAACGTATGATCAGATTGAACGGGAAAGATGTGTTGTTTATTTCATGCACCGTTGCGTTTTTTAGCAATATGAAAATAAACCATACGGGATTCCATTCCTTGCTTTCATCTTTCTTATAGAAGCCAGTATTATAAAATTTACAGAAAAAGAAGTTTTTTTCCCTTGAGAAATCTTCACATGTTCTCAAGAGAAATTTTGATAGATACCGTGCATAATGCTGTCTTTCAGCTTTTTTGTTTATTTCAGATAGAAAATGTCTAATGCCGCATATACAACCACCGATGTCTCACAAGTACGTTCAAATGGCGTTAACGATGCTTCGTTTCAACAACAGCCTCCTTTAAGTATTCGTGAGAAAATTGTGAATATATTTGAAAATTTGGAAATAACGAAAGATGAATTACGTATTTGTCAAAGTCAGCTCGACAAAGAATCAACAGCTCGTATTGAGGTATGTGCAAAGATGAAGGAAAAAAGCAACTTAAATGGTTGTTGTACTACATTTTAGGCCGAAACAGAAGGTAGTCACTTACTTCGACAAATGCAATTGATCGAAGTTAATCTTGATAATACAACGTCGAAAGTTGCACAAGTAACCACACAATTGTTAGATGTTGTCAAAGTAACAGAAGCATCCAGACAGTAAGAGTCTGCTTTAGTGATATGCTCTAATTCTATTGTGAATATCGATTTAGTGCATGCAATAATTTGGAAAATAAACTGACAATGGTTAAAAGTAAAGAAATTGAGTTACAAGACGATCTCCGTCGGGCTAAAGAATGTAGTATCGAAACCGATAAACGATTTCAAGAGGTACAAGAGTTTTTAAGTTGTCTTATTTATTTGTTACTTTATTTATTTGTTTCATTAAAAAGGCATCGAAGAAAATGATGAATATACAAGAACGTCTAGAACATGCCGAAAATCGAGCGACATTAGCTGATCAGTAAGTATGCAGAGTGGCAGTGACACAATTACACCGGAAGGTTTGGACAATAAGTTGTAAAAATGCCACTAGAGTTTGACTCATACGTAAAAAATCTTGGTTGCACATCTGTGCCTTGGCAAAGAAGTATAAAAATGGTGTCTTATTTCAATTTTTTAGACGTATCGTTTTATTAGAACAAGAAATTCGACACGCCTATGTCGAAATGAAAGCACTGACTTTAACAGAAGAAAAAGTATGTTCGCCTATTTATCTTAACTTTAAAGAGAAGAACATTCTTTACTTTGCCTCTTTGTATTTAGTCTCAACAGAGGGAAGAAGAATATCGAAAAATTGTTGCCGAACGTCAGTCAAGATTAAAGGAGGTATGTTGAATTTTTTCTATGTCAAATAGTCCTGAATACAAGGTCCATTATGATAATCATCTAGTGTTTTTTTCCATAATCCAGCGGACTTTTATGTGGGTGACACTTGTGAATACTACCAGTTTTAATTGATTATTTGACTTTACAAGGAGAAATGTGGACTATTAGTCTATTTCATCTCTAATCGCAGTAAAGTCTTGTCTGCTCTGTGCGCTAATCTTATTGTAGTTCGCACAGGCAATCTTGATAATTGTGAACTTTTCATTACAATTCTCTTGATATTTATAGGCACAACAGCGTACGGATGAAAGTGAATTTGAAGTTGGAAAATTACAACAGACAGTAGATAAATTAAAAGGTAAATACCAGTCGTCGATTTTACAGACAGGATATCCAATGATACTGAAAGCAGCAAGAGATCTGACGTCAGTTGTGGTTCACTATAAAGATCTTATGGTTCTTTCGATACCTTGGAAAAACATACAGATATAAATTTTTGACATTTCAGTTAATAAAAAGCAAGAAAGATTTGCAAAAAAATTCGATTGTATAAATCATGCTATAAGTATTCCTCACCTGAGATACACATTGTAATTGTAGTGTATATCTTTTTAGAAAAACTTGTTGATGAACGTACAAAATATCGTCAGTTACACAAAATGATGTTAGCATCTTCGGCATAGAAAATATATATTCAAAAGCATCTGGTTTTTTTTTTGCTCTCTTTTCTCTTGTTTGCTGTGCAATAAATCTCATCTTTATCTCAACGTTCTACACATATCCTTTGTTAGAATTAGTTACCCTTCGCTTTTAGCGATGCTGAGAATAAAAATAGATAAACTCTGTTTTTTGTTTGTTTAATGAATGATCTGAATGATTTTTTTTCTCGGTTTTTTTTTGTTTTAAACTTAAAACTGATATGCAATAACCATAATAGTTCTATTGTTAATTTGTTTTAATTTTTACTTTGTGTGTGCTTTACGTGTGATGTGATTTGTTGTTATTTTTTTCATTTAAATGCATGACACAATTGTTTTTCTTCGTATCCGTTTTATAACTTTTTTTGCGTGTGTTTTTGTGTGTGATGAAAATATAACAACTAAAATAAATATTCGTATACATTGTAGTCAAATAATTGGATTATGTGATAAGTAGACCTTGAATTTGTATACTTTTTTGTTTTATCGTGTTTGTCAGATATTCTACTTGGTACATTATGATCAACTTTCAGAAACTGAAAACATAGTGGAATGAATGAGTGTGCACGGAATATATAGGTTGAAAATGATGATACGAATCGACCAGGAAAATCGGATGATCTTTATCGTTGGAAATATATTGACAGCTCAACTGTTTCGAGCGCTGGATGTGTTTATTGTTTAACTTGATCAAAAGAGTATTTCAGATGTACACTGGAAGTAGGACAAAATTCCTAAGAACTGATCGAAAAAACTGGTGACCAGTTTCCACTGTTTTGAAAAGAACGGGTAGCAGCTTCTATTCAAAAGAAATGAGCTGAGTCATTTCTAACCTACATTCAAGTGAAAACACAAGTACACGCGTCCTCTCGCTTACATAAGTGTTTGCCTCTCAACAAAAGTTGATCTAGCGCGTACACACACACTTAATATACTACTGTTAAAACGTTCTCTTTTCAATCGTCAGAGACTCCATTCGCTAATAAATTACTTAGGGCATACCAGAAGTAACGATATTTGCAGGTAAAACCCCACAAGACTTTGGACAAGATGATTTGAAATTGCTAATTTTCCTTTGATTTGTTTGTAGTGCTCTAAACGAGTATTAGAACTGAATGGTCGTTTAGCTATTGTTATTTGACATTGCTTTGATATCTGACAAGAAAAGGACGGTCGTATGAAGACTTATAAATGGATATGAAACATCACAAGAATAACACCGGACTTCCTTTTCATTCCATCTGTTTGATCATTCATATGCGAACCTATTTTCAGACGTTTAAATTGAACGAATTGATTTTGATAATACAGAATTTTTTAGTAAAAACTTACTGGGCAGAATGATCGTCATTCACAGTTGTAAAAATTTCGTCTGTGTAACAGATTCGAAATGTCAATGTTAAAATATAAAAATTTTCAAAATAAATTTAACAAAAAGTCAAAAAAAGTATACGATCTTGTAAAGTATACACCTGAAAATGCTAAAAGGTTAAATGAGAAACTAAAAGCTGGATCTCTTGTTTGAGACTTGAACGATAAATGACTTCTTTACTGAAACAACTATTTGGAGTTGAACGAATTGAAATATTTTTTTGCAGTATCCTCTGTTGAAGGTATTTTATAAAAGAATTTACTAGTGTGTGATCTTCATATTCTCCATTAAAAAATGGAAAAGACCTAGAATGTTTTTCATTGATGGAAGGTAAAAATCTGATTTTGATATTTTAATTTATCCTAATTAAATTTTATTTTATAACTGCTTTTTATGTCACAAAGAACTTGAACTGGTTCTTACTACGCGCAAACAGCTCTTGAGACTATCTTTCTCTAACTTCTCTCTTAACTAAGGTGAAAAAATACATACGTAGAGTCGCGTGATTCACAGAGGATTTTGACAATGAATTTGCCTTTTCTCTAAATACATTAGAACGTTTATCATCAGATTGTTTTGATGATGTTCTACGTATACATTCTCAACTTAGTTGAGAGAGAAGTTACAGAAAAACAGTCTTAAGAACTGTGCGCAGAGTAAGGGTCAGTTCAAGTTTTCATGACTTGAGCTTTTCTTTAGCGTAAAAAGCGGGTTGTAAAACAAAATTTATTTGGTAAAAATCTGCTTACACAAATTACAAAAGCTGGACAACAAAATTTTCTAATAAATTAACATTACACAAAAGATTATAAAACTTCAAAAAATAGCGGAAAAACGCTTCGTTTTGAATTTTTGACCGATGATGAAACTCGTGTAGTGGTAGTTCTAACTGACGTATCGTGGCTAACATTTAAACTTGTAGTGGTGTTAGCTGTTGTTTGTGTTGAGACGACAGCTATTGCTGCAGACGTTGTGCCATGATTCGATGGTGCCGTTGTTAAACGATGTGAACGTACTAGTTTGTCATAACGTCCGTCAACAGTTTGATTATTATTGTCACAATTTCTTGATGTTCGTGGTAGTAAATAATGTGAGAAGGGTGATTCTAGGAAAATGTTTAAATGTCGAACACAAAATATGACCATTTGATTAACACTGTCTAGTAAATATTTTGTGGACGGAAACTTTCGTTGAGAAAGTAGAAAAAATGCTTCGATAAATGCACCAAACGGTAAACCTAAAAGTGGTCGAGATGAGCATTATTGTTATTATATTAAAGTATCTGTTTTTTACCTGATGAAGTTGTTTTGAGAATAAATTGTTGCCATTTTCTTAACATTTGCACATATAATATATCAATACTTTCTCGGGTTATAAAATCATTTATAATACCGCATATTCTAAAGAAAATATTAAGTTCGTTTAGTTAATGTAATTCAAATATTAATTTACTTACTGTGCAAAATTTCTGAATTGAATAGCTGTCATTCTTTTATATCCCATCATGACGACAATCTTTATATAAATGTACGCTATTTTATCCAATAAAAACAAGTGTCGATATTTCGATTTATATGTTGATGGATAGATTAATTTTAATACTTTTGTTTCTCTTGCTGTACTAATTCTAGTAATACCAGTGGTTGTCGATGATCCTACTCTACGTTGTTTTTTTAATAAAAATATTGAATTTGGATTTAGACCGTTTTCGTCATCATCTGACATCGATGGAATGACTCGATTAAGTTGATTTCCATTACTTTCATCATCATCAATGGCACGTTGCTTCTTTTGGCAAGAAACTGTTAATTTTTTTGGTTTTTCTATCCTTGAGTCATCATCACCAGCAAAAGATGACATCAATTGATCATCTTCACTTTCTTTTCCACCGCCATTTGCTGATGGAAATGGATTTAATAAAACTTTCTGTTGTTGCTGTTCTAAGTCGTCTCTTCTCATCTCTCTTGGTGGCCGAGAGAAGTATGGATTATGTTTTGGATCAAAACGTATTTGTCTGGCACTGCGAATTTTCTCACTGCGTTCATCGATACGCCGTTGAGCAACTTTTTCTAAGCGTTGTGCCATCATTTCATCGTTCAATTGCATCTGATAATGTCGAGCACTTTGAAGGACGAACGAGAAAGATATCTAGTAAAGAATATCGTTGAAAGTGAAAAACATGCTTACATGGTATGAAGTTTCTTTTTGGGTAGTGCTAGCTTAAGTGTTTCAAGAACAAGTGGTTTTTTTATTTCTTCATCAATCATACTTTGTTGATAAATTACTTTGCCTAAAAGAAAATAATTTGATAACGCTATCTTATTCTTTGAATTCACATTTTCTACCAGGTTCTGTTTGTTTTTCGAAATCCATGCGTAGACTAGGATTGGCATTTACTTCTAATAGAACAGGTTTTAATTCCTCAGTAAGAATAATGTCGAAACCAACTATCTAAATAGAAAATGAAATCATTTAAGAGTATCGCCTCATTTTCAAGAGTAAAAATGGAATTTATTACAATATTGTGTGACATGTGCTCGAACAGAATAAAGTATCCTCTACAAAAAAAGGAATTATTCTCATGTCGCTCGTTGGAAACGTACCTCTAAGAAACCAGAAGTTTTTCCGAATTTTTCTTTGAGAAGAGAAAATTTTATAATTTTTTTTGTTTTCCTTTTTTTTTTGATTTTTCATGTTTTGTAGTATAGCTTCAAAGCGTTTTGAGTGAACTGCCATACACATATCCTAGCCAATGTACTGATTCAAGGTACCCGAACAGATAACCTAATAACGCTAATGTTATAAATACTCAAGAAACCTCTATGTAATCAGGTGCCTTACGGTATTTTTCGGGTACCAGTTCAAGTACTTTTGATACTCCAGTGACATAATTTCACACTTAAGGTCATTATTGATTAATTATTTTTGAATACACTGCCTGACAGTAACCGCTGTTTTTTGCGGTACTTTTATGTAGCAGACAATTTGGTCTTTTGCATGTCGAGAGAATAGTCTACGTATTATCAAAACAAACTTAATTATTTTTCGTAGTGAAGATTTTTTATTAATTACCTATGTTTTCATTTAGTATGTTTAGTACTTGGGCGACATTTCTACTAACGAGGGAACCCCACGAAGTGATTAAACGCTTTTTGCTCGGAATCTAGTGGGTTATAGGTTATCGACCATGCTGATTACGAATACGACCATGCGGCTTCCGCATAGCCCTTCGAAGACCTGG